TAAAGTATAAATAAAAGTAATGCTTAAAAAAATATAGTAAATAATTAAATTAAAATTATTTTATAAAATTATTATTAAAATAATTTAAGAAATTAAAAATGACAAATTATAATATTATATAATATTATATAATATAATATACCTGGAGAACGTCCCCATCACCAAGTGTAAAAGATAGGTTTGGCAGCTCTTCTACCACAGTTCCATTAGTAAGACTGGTTTTAAGATGAATTGTGACAATTTGGCCTCTCTGGGGTCTGCTGTCTGGACCAGCTCCGGCTTCCACAACTTTCTTTCTAAGCTGCCCATTTCCTGTATTTTCAAACAGAAAATATTTCATAACAAGCTCAAAATCACCATCATACTTTACTCCACCACTGCAACATCCAGACATGAAAAAATGTGCTGGATATTTGTCCGTTATAGTGTTGATCTCCATCATTTAATTAATTATTGCTGCCACAATGACCATGAGGTAAAAAGGGGTACCTAAAACATCCAGCCACTCTTCCTGTTCTATTGAAGGAGTTTGATCTGCTTTTGTAGCGTCTTTAGCTGGACTGTCTTTCTTCTTTCCTCCACCTGCATCTTCTAAAGGCGGGAGGTCGTCATCCACGTCATCTTCCACATCATCCAGCATTGTGAAGTCTTCCCCGCTATCCAGCAGCGAGGCACGTCCAGATTTCTTACCCGATGGCGCCACCTCTTGGTTTTCAGCAGAGCCGTTCACAACCTCACCGTCGGCCATCTGGACACAATACTACAAGAGCGAAAACAACAAGTTGCCTTAAAAGAACAGTTCACCCAAAAATGAAAATTAGCTTAGAATGTACTCAGTAGGGCTGTCAAAAAAAAATAAGAATTTCGAATACTCGTCGAATTCAAAATAAAAATCCACATTCGAATGGAAAATCGTTGCATTCGAATTTTAGGTGTGCATCAGTCAGGCTTATCAGTGGCGCACGAGATGCGATGACGATGTAAGTGTCATTGCATTTTAATGCTTTTGTTAGTCTATCCAGTTGAACCCACTAGATGCGGCGCTGCTACGTTGTTCATTCAAAATATTGCGGGGAAAAAAGAACATCAATACGGAGATGTTGTTTACGTCAAAACCGAAACCAAACCGTTCACACAGAACGCATATTTATCACATTTTCTAGAGGGACATCTATCAGCGTTGCACTCACATCTCGCACAAGAGAGCTGCATGTTTAGAAAGCCATGTAAAATTAATGTAAGTTCAACTTTTTAAAAACATGTCTCAAGACTTTATGGCGGTTTTTCCCCATCCCACTGCATCTCAAGTTTTTAAATGAAGAAAGTACTCTTTGTGATTAGTTTTCGGTCCTTTGTATTAAACATGATTCTGTTTTGTTTCTAATTGTTTAAAGGGGTCATATGATGCGATTTCAATTTTTCCTTTCTTTTTTCAAAGATAGTCGTGTTATTTTTTTTATGCTTTGAAGAAACGTGCATAATATTTTGTTCGATGCGCCCTCTTGTGGCCTCCGGAGAAAAGCCAAAAGCTTTTTTCACCCCAACTAAAATGATGCCTTTTAAATTTGAATGTAATTCGAATATTGATAATATTCAAGTACAAAATTCGAATTTAGTCTTTCAGCCATTTTGACAGCCCTAATCTTAATTTGCAAATATACGAGTGTTTTTGTGCAAAAAACTGCCAACCAAATAAGACAACAGATTATTAAAATAATAGGAAGCACAAGAGAATTAATTGAGTGACTAACCAATGCAAGCCAAGAAACAAGAATTAGACCAATAAACAAAACAACTGACAAAACTTATTGAGGAGGGA